GTATTAATAATAACGTGCGCACGGACGTTAAGACGTATGTGTACACATTCGTAAGTCCTTAAAATGCTCAAAATTACTCTTTTCATTTAAAATTTCTTTTAAAATGCTCAAAATTACTCTTTGAATAGAGCATGTTTTAGCATATAATACTTTTGAATCAGAACCGTGCGTGCTTCGTGAGGGTCAAAGTACGGCGGATCACCTAACTCGTCCTCAGTGACGAGTTCAAATCTAGTTTACATCCTGTCTCTTATACACATCTAGATGTGTATAAGAGACAGATGACGCACTTCCGGAAAAAAGCGTTACAAATTTGTAATGCAAAATACGCTAGCTGCTCGTTCTTCCTCTGTCTATATTCTTTTCAATAAATGTTTAGCGAGCGCCCCATCCAACGAAAGTGAAGTTCAAAGACTGTATAGTAATAGTGATGTATAACGACAAAGAGATTGCTAATATTATAAGCTACGGATTTATCGAGAGTGTTTACATGAAGATGAAACTTGTGCTGAGTTTGATGACTTCATTAATGATTTTTTACTTAGCGAAGAGAATAATGTTGATGACGATGAGATTAATGGCAATGCCAATAATAGCACCCGTGGCAATGCTACTGCTCCTCCTCTCTCCCCTGTACTCTTCCTAATGATGGCTGTATGAACCAAGGGCCTATGCCCTGTCTCTTATACACATCTAGATGTGTATAAGAGACAGCCACACTCATCAGGCGGATATGTACAACTGATGTTATTACAAGGAAAACTTATCAATAATTGAGAAAAGCATATCATTAATTGAGAAGAAGATTAGCGGTAATTAAAAGGGGCTTATTGTCTAGATGGTATATTGTTTATCTGTGGTTTAGCAATCATTGGTTTCTTAGCAGGAATTTCCTCCTGTGCCTACAAGTGGATATTAATTCATTTCTGCAGTTGACAGAACTTAACTCAGGATGACAAATAATTAGAAACTTCTCATGTAGGCATAGATTGTATCGTTTTATAGTATTAGAATACGGTCTACATTGTTTTATAATTTTCCATTTTATGGTATATTGCGTCTTAGTGTCTTTTAATATCCAAATGTATTTACTTAGTTCAGTAGTATTTCTGTATTTAGCATTACGGAATGAGTTAGTATGGTTTCTATATCTAGTTTTAAATGTATTTTCCGTAAGACCGATGTAAGTTTCTTCATTCTTGTTGTCCACTCTTGTTACTGTAGCTTGATAGACAATCCCTTTATTATGTGTGTATACAGAAAAAGAAATTAAATACCGTAGTTGCATACGTATACTTTTTCAAGGAATCGATGAGCCCATATGGCATGAAAAACGCACTTTACTTTGAAAATGTAAGATGCATTAAAACAAAATGAAAAACAATACAATTCTTAAAAACCACAGTAAACTCTTCTCAATACTTGAACATTCATGCCTATGGGCTCATCGATTCAATTTCATCAAATATTTTTTTTTTATCTACCTTATTGTATTTTTTTTTTTATGATGAAGTGAATAAAGATTGAACTGAATTGAATTGATTCTACTGTTACTGTTTATGTTAGATCTATGCCTGATAAAGTATAATACTTAAAAACACACACCGCGCATTTATGGGGTATATTTTCGAGAACTTAGTAGCACAAGTGTGGGGAGTTGCAGCATTTATGGGGTATTTAATGCGAAGACTTACAGCATGACAAGTGACTGTGTGAGGAATTATAATTATTATTGTGTGAGTGAAATTGGTCAAAGTCCCTGGCCCGTACCCTGTCAAAATTTCCCGCACAATTTCTGTGGGGATTTTAGCTACTGAGTGCTAAAGCCCTGTGCTAAGCCTACCTTTGGTACATCCACAGCAGAGATTGCGAACGGACGGAAAACTTTTCACCATTGGGGAAAACAATGCAAATATTGCGCCCTCTCTGGCATGATTGAGTGGCCTTTTTCCTGTCGTCCTTTTAGAACGCACTGCGAATTCGTGTGACAATAAATGGTAATTCAAGTCTGTATGTTTTATATATATATTAATGCCGAATAAATAATAAATAATAATAATAATAATAATAATAATAATAATACTATAGGTGTAATTTTGCCCTACCTGACGTGGAAATGTACCGAATACTCAGTACATTTGAAAACAACTGCTTACGCTAATGACCCCTATTTGACCATTGACCCCAAGCAGTGAACACCCCATGTATGAGAGGTGCCACCGGTTATACTGACGTGACCAGGTTTGGTTGAAATCGGCACAACCGTTTGGAACTAGTAGCGTTTTGAAATGTTTCCAGAAAAAAAGATAAAAATTACCCCTTAATGACCTTTGACCACTTATCCCTGAACACCCCATATTATTTTTGAAAGAAGTAGTCTTTTATACGATTTTTGGTTTTTTGACCCCATGCCCCTTATGTGACCTTTGATCCCAAGTTGTGAACAACACATTAATGGGGAGGTGGCACCGGTCCTACTGACCAAAGTTTTAATAAAATCAGTCCAGTAGTTTGCCACTAGTAGCTTTTTAAAATGTTGCCAGAAAGAAAGAAACTGCTCAGAAACAGAACCCACTCAGCATGCGGCTGACTGGGTAATAATAATAATGACGACGACGATGACGATGACGATGATGATGATGATGATAATAATAATAATAATAATAATAATAATAATAATAATAATAATAATAATAATAATAATAATAATAATAATAATAATAATAATAATAATAATAATAATAATGGTAAGATTTGCATGATGATTTGTATTTTTAGGTTTAAAAAACACAATTTCTGCTCAGCTCCTAAAGAAAGGTAGGTCTATAATTTTTTATTTTTTTTTTTACTTGGCAGCTTGGCAGTTCGGCATGCAGCTATAGCTGAGTTTCAATGTGTTTCTATTGAATAGCTTTCTCAGCTCGTGTTCTTGAGGGAAAAATTCATCTATTACTGTATTCGTAGAAATTTGTGGCCAATATTGGGTAGCGACGTTGGCGCTGTACGGATGGTTAAACCATATGACATTTCGGCTGCGCGATCGTTTTGACTTTGTGGGTACAGGCTTAAAATTCAATTTGTAGCCGTAGCCGCTTTTCTTGAGGGCCTCTTGATACGGGGGAACAGCTGTATTGAACGATTCCTTATCAGACGAGTGTTGGATAGTCATCTATTGATGGCTTCTGGTATGTTACGAATTATTGACGGTGGGAGGTTGCTTTGTTGATGGACGTAAAGGGGGGTATTGTTTCGTTTGAAAAATGGTTTGAATGCTCCGGTACTTAAATCCAGGGTTATGTCCAGGTATTCAACTGATTTTTTGTTGGCTTCCATGGTGAGATGCAGATTGTTGCCCCGGAATACCATGTATATGTATCTTGGTGACTCGTCAAATGTTTCTAGGCCGTCGTCTATGTATAGCCCGATTTTGTTGCCATGCCGGTGTTAGCTGATCCGATACGATCCGACTAGCTCGAGGGTTTCTGCACCGTCGAAACTCCCCATGGTCACGTCAAATAGTGTGCTGCTCGTTTTCTTACACCATGGTGTATTTTCATTGAGATTTCTTTGTTTGGATAATGATATTTTTTTCCTGGTAGCGGCAGGGGCGGATCCAGAGATGTCCAAAAGGAGGGGGGGGGGGCGAAAGGGGTGACGAAATTTGGGCCGATCGAGACAACAATATCCTAGGGGATATTTTTGTTTTAGACGCCCGAAAATAACATTTGAGGCGTTGTGGGCTATCATTTTTTTCTTTTTCCTTCTTTCTTTTTCCTTTTCTTTTTCCCACCTAAATCCGCCCCTGGTCGGTGATGTCAAATGTTGATACAATATCAAAGCAATGAATGGTTAGATTTGTTAAAGGTGTTTTTGAACCAGCTAATTACAGAATCAGTGTTTTTCCATTGATTTACCTTGGTTGATGCCACTATCTTCTTGTTTATCCTTCCGAGGATTTCCTTGCTTATGATGCCGATTTCAGATTTGGTTGGGTTTATAAGCCTGCGTGTGGGGTTATTGTTGAAGTTAGGCTTGTGATCTTTTAAAGTTACAAACGAATCTTTTGCTGCGGTAGCTTCAATTCTAGTTCAAGCGATTTCGCAATTTTCTTTTCATCTGATATTATGTTAGATTTTGC